ATAGACAAAAATAATATAGATATTTTACACAGAGAAAAAGATACATATAAAAGAAAATTCAAAGAAAGTATAGAAATAATCAAAAATCAAAATAGTATAAATAAAAATCCTAGCATCTCTATAAACGAAAACTGGTTAAAAATTTTATATTAATTGTATTCACTAGATCCAAACTATTATTATTGTGAGCAATGTGCTAATTAATAATAATTATCGAACTGTTAAATAAATCAACAATAACAAAAAACTGTAATGTTGTAATGAGAGTCAGATAATATGTAAATTTGTATTAACTGTTGATCATGTCTATTAACTCCATGACATTGTAAAATCATTAGTTCATATAATAATCTATGATATTAAATACTGAAATGTTAAATAAACCAATAGTCATACATTGAAAAAATAGTGTAGAAGTCAGATATGTAAATTTATATTGTAAAGTCATGTAAATTCGTATTATATTGTAAATGCGTATCAAGGAAATAAGGATTTCGTAAAACAGATTATGAGTGTAAGGCATGATCAATTGTATGCTAATTTGATAATTGTAGTCCAAAGTATGTTTAAAATCAAGGATTTTGTAGAACTGTTTTATAAGTGAAAGGTATAATCAATTGTATACAGTTTTAATAACAACCTTAATCAAGGTATGCCTTAATGGAAGATAGTTTTATAGATTCTTATGTATACTTTTGTATATATGTGTCATATACTTCCCTAATATTATAGTTATTTATGAATAAGCTGACGTTACTGGAAAATATCGCGAGTAACTGTTACTGAAACGGAAGTAAGCTGTTACTTCAGTCTATAAGACTTATATACATGGTATGTTTTAGATTTTTATGAATTCTACAAAACTTGTGTTTTTTCTATGTATGTTATATTCTTTTTTAATGTTTTAGTTGGCTGAAGAGGGCTTAAGAGCCCGAAACGTGTAAAATGTTCACACGTATCAACTAAATAAAGATGAGAAAACCCGCCAAGTGTCTTAATTTATAGCACTCTATTGTGTTAGAAGCATAAATCTTGTGTTCTATTATTTCCGAAAAGGAAAAGTGCAACAGAAACTCAAAAGAAGATATGTGCTGTATATGGGGGGATGCACTTACTGATCAAACATGCCAGAAACGGTTTTCAAAATTTAGGGCAGGAGATTTTTCTCTCATCAGGATGGCCTTCAACCATAATTGAGTCCATTGTGACTTTAATCCAAAATGATCAGCATAGAACAACACAAGAGATAGCTGACATCTTAAAAATATCTCAAACATCTGTTGTCAAACATTTGGTCAGCCTTGAATACACTTCCCATTATGATGTTTGGGTTCTCCATCAGTTAAGTGAGCAAAACCATATTGAGCATGCCTCTGTTTGTGATTTACTTTTAAAACTTAATGAAGATGATCTGTTTTTAAGTGATTAATAACTGGCAATGAAAAATGGATCATTTATAACAATATTCAATTCAAGAGATCTTGGAATAAGCCAGGTGATCCACCTGGCTTACTCCAAGATCTCTTGCATTGAATATTGTGCTGCAACCTAAAGCTGGTTTGCATCCCAGAAAAGTAGTGATTTCAGTTTGGTGGGATTGGAAAGGGATTCTTTATTATGAGCTTTTATCAACAAACAAACAATTCCAATAAATATTGTCTCCAACTGGATGAACTAAAGGCTGCAGTGCAGTGCATCAAAACCATCCGGAACTTGCAAATTGATTGAGAGTGGTATTCCATTGTAATAATGCAAGGTTGCAAATACAGGTATACCTCGCCTTACGTCAGTAATTGGTTTCAGGAGAACGACTTAAGTCGAAAAACAATGTATGTCGAATTTACTTGTCTCCGAATCTACTTGCCACTAGGCTAAACCATAAATTACCAATTCCCATTCTGTATTTTATTTATTAATGCATTTTTAATAATATATGGTTAATAAGGATCTATTTTAAGCTTACGAACAAATAAATTTTAGTTTTTAATATAGTACAGAAAAAAGTAATTTAAATTTACGAATGCATGTACTGTACTGTAAATACAGTATATACTTGTAAATGTATATATTATAATATGATTTTATGTGCTTTAAACATTTTTCTAGTGATGTTACGACTTTAATATTTGTGGCGGACAGACGTAAAGTCAAATAAAATGACTTAAACTTGATTTTTATTTTTCCATATACTTTCTTGGCAAACGACGTATAATCGGGAACGACGTAACTCGAAACGACGTAAGTCGAGGTATACCTGTATTAAACATGCACCAAAAACTTCTAGACTTTAACTGGGATATTTTGAGTCACCCTGCATACTCTCCAGATATGCTCCCTCAGATTATCATCTTTTTCATTTGTTGCAGAGTAATTTAAATGGCATAAAATTTCAATCTTTAGAAGGTATCAAAAATCACATTGAAAATTTCTTTTATCAGAAACCCACTCAATTCTACACAGATGGAATTACAAAACTATCTGCCAGATGGCATATGGTTATCAAACAGAAGGGTGAATACATTGTGGATTAAAGGTTTTTACTTATTCCAAAATAGTGTACAGTGGGTGATCAGTTAATGATCATAATCTGTTCCAAGACTTTGTTCACTATCTGAATTGTTTGTTAACTGATTATTAATTTACTATAGATTTTCGTTGGAATTTGATTAATTCATTCTGGTGACTCCTAAAAATAAAAAATATATACTTTCTTACTACGTTTATTTATATGTAATAATAAAAATACATATATACACAGTCTTGCATTTTTATTAGTCATGTTTTTTCCGTTTGTGGAGGTTAAAGAATCTGTCCAATGTCAATTGCTTTTCTCTCTTCTTCAGGATTTTTCATAATTAATTAATAGCTTTGTAATTGTAGAGATTCCTAAGCCTATTAACCACATTCTGGTTTGAATGCCATTTGGATGCCTGTTGTTTTGACATCCTCCTACTTCTTCAAAAGATCTTTAACTGCTTGAGAATTCTTGATATATCTTTCATAGCTAAGATTCTGCTTACTGTAGACATGTTCAAGTCATAGTGTCTAGCAACATCAGACATCTACCTGCTCTCTCTCTACCTTGGCTATTATCTCTAGCTTGGTTTCTATGAAGAGCCTGGTTCTTGACACTCTGCTTTTTTAGGCTGCATAACATTATCGGTTTCTTTTTTGAATAAAAAGTTCAGAAAAGCACTTAGAAAAATTCAGAGAACAAACAACTAGCGCATAAAAAGTTATTTAAATGCAACCTGGATGAAATTCGAAATTAAAACGTTAACAAATATCCAATGGAAAAGTTAAACTCTCACCTTTCATAAATAAAAACTGATGCAAAACTTAATGAGTATCCGTGTAGATTATAAAAAATTATTTGTCAGAGAGGTAAACAAAAAGCTGAATTACAAGGGAGAGTTTCAAAATTCGGAGGAATACTATCTGATCAGTATCATGTTGAGCATCGATGTCGACGTCTTCAGAGCTCTGAAAAGTTTTGAATTGTCACCTGGAGACAAGAGAAGACCAATCGGTATTCACTATTTTACGTCGTTTCTTTTTCTGTTTGTTCTGTGAAGTGTTCATTGTCTGAACATAAAAATCTTTTGCAAAAGTGTTTGTTATCCAATTTGTTCGCAGTCCAAACTGTTCGTTAACCAATCACCCACTGTATTTTATTTCTTTCTATAAACCAAACAAACATTTGGTTCAACCCAATACAACTAATCAAATTTATTTATTATACACATCACAAAACAGAAGTTTCTTGTTTCTGACAATTTGGCCCAAGTTTTATTCAACTCAAGTGCATCTTTAGCATTAATCCTAATAACATGTTTAGGCAATATGTAAATATCTGCTCTAGCAATCTGATGGAGTAACCTCTCAATTCAATAATAATGAGTATTCCAATATACTTTTACTCCTTGTTCTAAAGAACAGTGAAGTATTTGCAAAATTATTGTTTTTACTAATAGAGATAACTAGGATTGTAAAAGAGCATTTTAAAGAACAAATTGTAGAACCAATGTAGCATAAATTCTCATACTTTTGGTAAATTTTATCATATACTCCCTGGCTTTATCCAAATCTTTCATCCTTTCCTTATCTGATCTTAGACATTTTCCATCTGTTATGTGAATGCAAACACAAAGTTTAATCCTCTCCTTGCTTTTGTGTGGATCAATAACTAATGTCAAATATTTGCCAGTAACACCAAATCTTTCTACTCTAGTGGAAGTGCTGCCAAGTGTGGTATTATTAAAATGTGAAGTAATCAATTTCAATGATCATATCCATGGGCAGCAGTGATATCTAATAATAAATTCTTGTTTCATATGTACTATCAAGAAAGAATGGATGATGGCCTTATAATCAGAGAGTAGAAGGCAGCTAATTTATGTGCCATTGTGAACACCAGTTTATATATGCATCTACAGCTGTATGTTTGTGAAAAACTTTGATGCAATACCTTGTGATTTGAAGATTGTTAAATTCAGATAATTAATAATAAACTTGCTAATTTGGTCAATGTTAAGCTTGACACTAGTAGAATTATTAATTATCTTTCAGAAAGTATCATATTTGATATCAACAATCTGGAATTTTTATCGGGCTATGTATTAAGGCTAATTAATAATCTGAAACAAAGTAATTTGGCTAGAGGTAGGTAATTTAGTTGCCTTATGAAAAATTTAATAATTATGAATATATTTGTTTTAAATTTTAATTTAGAATACTCTGGAAGAAAAGAATTGGTCCAGAGTAGGACTCGAACCTGTAACTCCTGTTTATGCAGTTGTGTTGCCACTTATGCCTATCTGAATCTCCAAGCTCCTTCCGGAGCTATTAATTTACCTAATATTGTTAATTCTATCATGAGATTAATAATTCAAAACATTATTCATTCATTACTCTTAATATAGCTTGATAAAATCCTACAGATTGTTTGGTATTACAGTAAAATCTCGATTTAACAAACAGAATTTCTGGTCCATATGTCGTATGCGAAAACTAACACACTTTTATTTTTAAAATGTTTTTTATATATAATTAAATTAACAAGTAATTATTTTTTCAAATCCAAGAGTCACCACTCTTAACTTTACACCACTACAGGAGTGTCTCAATATATCATCTGAAGATGATTAAATTTTGACTAAATAGGAATTTTTTTTGTATACATGTTTTCTTTTTAAGAACATGATTTATTTATTTTTTTGTTTTTGTTAAATACAATTAGTGTATTTAACTAAAAATGTTTGTTTGTTTGTTTATTTCAGTTCAGATTGTATACTTGTTTATTAGACTCAGAACTATGGAGAGTAAATAAGCAATAATACATATAAAAAGTTTTCTGTGAAAATAAACTTCTTATACATATGTTTGTGTAGTTAAAATTAAGTAGCTACACAAGTAGAAACAGATAACAAATTAATTTGTTTAACACAATCTGGAAAACTTGTTTAATTATATATAATGGACTTTTGGCTTTTATAGACACCCCTTGCCCAAAATTAGTCCATTAAATTGAAGTTTTACTGTACTAATGTGACAAGTTATATATGTTTTTATATGAGAAGGTAATTAATTTATGTCACTCATTTTATGGAAGGATAAGTGTCATCATATGTCTGCTTGGTAATTTTGTATTATCTTTATATATTTAGCAATAACCAGATCCACTACCTATTTAAGTATAATTTTAAGTAGGTATCCTGAAATTGGAGAGCCATTGGATTGATTATAAAAGTTTTGATCCAGTATAAAATAGAAGTTTGATAAAATTGCCTAAATAATTTGATACTCTCTTAAATAATTTAAGCCTGTCAAATTGCTAGCCAGTATTATATTCCATTCTATTAGAATAGAAGCAACCAGACTGATGTAGTCAAAAACCAATCAAAATATTGTTTTTACCCAACTCACTTTCAGATGGGGTTTTAATGACATCTAAAAAATTGTTGATTGACTATGAAGATTTAAATTGTATAGTTGTTAGAGGTTTATGTAAGGATCTTTCTAATGTGACATTTGGCACAAAATTCCTCCAGTACAGGTCAGTGATTACCTCAATTTGCAAGTCTTAACCATCCCAAATAAGCTTTGATGCAATTGCCTTTCAAGATGATTTATGAGATAAAAATAGGAGGAGTTTGTCTTGATAATTTTCTCCATTTTCATTCATAATTTATTAGTTAGATCAGTGTGCAGGCATTTAGTTAGTCTGTTATATGTATTGTATTTTGTGTAAGTTGAATGTTCTGATAAAAACTGGTGAGTGCATGAGAATTTCAGTGTTGTCAGCACTTGTGTCAAATATTTTGTCTTGCAAATGGGAAAGAGAGAAAAGAAAACAACTCATATTTAATTCTCGGTATCATACGGTGTGATTCCTATCTCATTATATTATTATTGAGCAGTAGCCATTATGAAATATGTATTTTAATAGAAAATAAATTGGGAATTATGGTTCTTACAATCTTTATATTTAGTAATTATTATTGAAATAAGATATACTGAAATTCTAAAGTTTTATCAATATCTTATTTTACATTTTCTATTAATGAAAATCAGTTGTAGCTTAAGTAAATAATTTCTTTCAGGAAACTTTTTGTCAGAAAAATGATGCTTCCCTTTTTATGTTCGGATCTCATAATAAGAAGCGGCCAAATAATTTAATAATTGGCAGAATGTATGATTTTCATCTGCTTGACATGTTTGAACTGGGCGTAGAAAAGTTTAAATCACTTGAAGACTTTAAGGTACTTTTATATGGTTGTATTGTTGTTATTTATATAATAAATAAAATAAAATTTTATTTTCAAAGGTGCCAAAAATTTCTTGCAGTACAAAACCACTTTTATTATTTGTGGGAGAATTATTTGAAGACCCCATTTATCAGAGACTTAAAAATCTATTAATAGGTCGGTAACATCCAAAAGTTTAAATGACGATAATCAAACAAAACATATTTAATTTAGCATTTTTGTTTATCAGATTTTTTTCGAGGACCAGAGATTTCGATGATAAGGCTCCAAGGTCTAGAACACGTCATTATGATTACGGCAGATGATGGAAAATTGTATTTTAGAAGTTACAGGTGAGTTTTCTTTATTTCATTTCGAATGTCTATAGCTATAGCTATAGTTGTAAATTTTTAAATTTTCTTAGAATTGTGATGAAGAAATCTGGGATGAAAACTCCTTATATAGAATTAATAGAGATTGGACCATCTCTAGATATGGTGTTGAGAAGGAATAAAATGGCTTCAGATGATTTTTTCAAACTAGCAAGGAAACAGCCAAAAGTATTAAAGGTATTGCAATGTAGTTTCATCATTATTATCAAAATGATATTTGGGATAACATATAATAGCTAAAAGTATAATATATTTGCCTATAATTAAAAGTTACTAAGATAAAAAATATTTCTATACTAGCTGTTACCCACAGATTCACTCACACAGATTTTGCAAGCAAACCCTATTTACATTCAATATTTCAACAACCATAGTAATTGTTATTTAACACCTACCACTGAGAATGATGAGAATTGCTGAGAATCAAACGAACTGTTTTTAATTTGATAAATGTTCTGGAACGTTCGCAATTGTTCTATAATCGAATCAATATGCAAAAAAGAAATTCAAATTTAAAACAGTTCGAACATTTGGTTAAAAAATCGAAATATATAAAAAATATTTGTAACAATGTTTGAAATGTTATCAATTTATACCCCTAAGTACTCAATGAAGACTAAATGTAATTAAAAACAAAAAAAATTGCATCTAAAATAGTACAGTAGAAGTTGTTTTTCAGGTTAAGCCTTAATGCTCTCCTTCTCCCCGTGGGGAAATTTCGAAAAATCCCTTCTTAGTGTGCGTTTTCATGACGTACCCTAACTGTGTACCAAATTTCACCTCTAGGTTCTGGAACTTTCTAGAAAAAACTGCAACATTCTCATTGAAGCATCACATATTTTCAAACCCCATATCTCTCACACCCTTATAGCTATCGAGATGCAACCACCATAGTGCAGGATGGGAGACTCGGGGCTACTACCACACACAAACACCATTCGTGTGCAATGTGTAGTTTTGGCTGCAGAGTGAAATATAGGCACAAGCATGTCCATTTTTATATACAGGGTGTCCCAACGAAAATGAAACAGCAGAGATATCGCGTTCGTCCAAGCAAATCGCTCGATTTTATTCTCAAGGGGGACATTTTCTGCAATGAAGTTTTTGCGATTCTGAATACAACAGACAATAAAAAATGAATAAGTTTTTAAAAATTTTGTTAACTAAACAAACATTTATTTCTCAGCGTATATCGCTTAACTAATGAGCGGTCGAGTCTTCAGATGTTGTCCGAGTAGCGTTCCTATGGCGACCAACATCGTCTGTCGAACGACTAAAAGTGCTGGAAAACGAATGTGCCAGACGATTTTTATCCCGACAAAACAAATAGTGATTCAATTCGAATTTAAGATTATTATGTGGTCAAGCTTAATGTGAACACTACAAAATACTGTATTATAACATTTGGAAACAGATAACACATTATCAACCTTAATTTTATGATCAACTTATTTTTCCTTGCATATGCGGTCTAGCTTAAAAGGTTTTTTTTATGTTTTTTAATAGTTTGTGTTACTTTATTTGAAATAAATGTTTGTTTAGTTAATAAAAAATGAATAAGTTTTTAAAAATTTTGTTGTCTGTTGTATTCAGAATCACAAAAACTTCATTGCAGAAAATGTCCCCCTTGAGAATAAAATCGACCTGTCCGAGCGATTTGCTTGGACGAGCGCGATATCTCTGCCGTTTCTTTTCGTTGGGACACCCTGTATATAGATATAATCTTAGTTTTGTTTTATAATAGGATTCTGTCTCTCGTCGATTATTAATGTGTATAAATTTAAACATTTTAAGTGCCTCATTTTTAAAATTAAGTGAATGCTCATATGCTATGGCATTCTGCAAGGTATTTCCAAGGTATTTCCCTCATCCATTTTAACCCTTGATTCTCAGTTTGTGCTAATCAGTAAGGCTGATGCAGCTTTATTATATCGAATAAAATTCATACATTGATCATTATTCTTTGAAGTGTTTTTAGCTTTTTTATATGTAAGGATTCATTCTCTGGCCACCATCTGTAATCAAGCATTGGTGATAACTTGAAATATAATCAAATGAATCTTTTAGGGAATATTTCATCATAAACAGATGTCAAAACTAAGCAGTAATATAAAAGATTCTTGCAAAAATCTTGTTACATTTATTTCCATTATTCTGTGATTTTTGAAGAATTAAATGAGTACTCAAACTGCCTTATTCATACCCTTTGTAGTTTTGGCTAGACTTCAACTGTTAAAGGAATGAAGAGAGGGGAAGTGACATTTACAATTTATTTTAATTATTTCATCCACAGGGATTTAAAAATATCATTCTTTATAATTTATGAAAGTGAATTAACTTACTCAATCAAATTATATAAAGTTTTATTTGCATATGATACTGCCATCAACTAAAAATATGCCATCTTGAAACAAAACTAATTATTCACCATATATTTGGCAGAGTTAGATGTGAAACTTTTTATAATTGCTTTTAACAAGGTATATTGGTAAAAAATATTTCACAAGTTAATCTTGGTTATAAATATGAACTGAAATGCCAAATTTTTACATTTAACATTGAATATCATGAATGAAGTACTATATTCAATTTCATTATTTTTATTTTCTTTTAGCCAAAAAAGGTAAAGAATATAAAGAAGAATGTATTTGGTTCCAAACTTGGACGAATCCACATGAAACGACAAAATTTCAAACAGTTAAATACTCGAAAGATGAAAGGACTGAAGAAGAATTTTCCTTCTGGCAGCAAGCGTAAAGGACGTGCAAATTCTGGTCCTCCAGCTAAAAAAGCTAAAGCATAAATAAATTGAGGCACAAAAATATGTGAAATTTTTTTTTATTCACACATTCATGCAAATTTTATACACAGCCATCAATCAAATTTCATAAAACATTTCTTTGTAAGTAAGCCCAATATTACCAGAAACATTACTTCCTTATCTGCGTGAAGTCGTCGTCATCCACGTTAATCACAAGGGGGAAACATTCCTCTAAAATTTAACATGATCTACCATTGTACATACATGATTTATATTATCATATGAATGTGGTTAACAGCCCTTCAATGTTATTTTTTTACTGCTGCTTTTTTGAAACAGCTGTGCTACTTTGAATAACTAGTATCTTTTTTACTCAAGCTGTTAAAATCCACATTCATAAAGTTGGTGCTCTGAGACAGATTTGCAAGGCAATCGAATTGCTAACATTTAAAAAATAAAATGTACAAAAACTTTAATGCAGACGGGATTTGTACGTTGGTGCGTGACTTAGATCTATGCATCTAATGCTCTGTACAATTTTTACGATTTTTGGCCTAGTGTAAGCCGATGACAAAACATTTTAATGAAAAAATTTTACAATTTGAAAAAAATGTACATTAGTGTTTTATTATTTTTTTATTATGGTATCACAGAAGACAAATGGAAATTCAGAAATTAAAATATAAATACTCTTAAAAATATATTTTATCGTCACAATTGACAATACAGGAATAATTTTCTTATGTAACTGTTTCCTTTAAAATTATAAATTAAAATTAAGGAATTGTCCAAGTAGCACAGATGTTCCAAATCCAATGGCTTAATGTTATAACATTCACCATGGCAGTATCTATATATATGTACATGTTTAGTTTTAATCGAAAAGTCCGTTCTAACTTGTTCGGCACTGACTTATACTGGTTTCTCTTCCTTCTCCTTCCACGTCGTCTGCATCTATAACACCCGGTATACGATAACCCATGTTCATTAACATTACTTCCAATGGATCAGCATTCATCCTCCGCTGATTTGCCACTGCTGCATCCTCAGAATCTATTACTTCTCTATCTTCCTTGCTACCATCCTAGAGAAGTTGTATTACAATTATTATATTTTATGCATTAAGCTAAGGAAAGAAGAATTAAGTCTCTGGCAAGATTTTACTTCTATTTCTTTTTAAGACTATCATTTTTTTCCTGTGTTGCATGATATTTTCTTAAAAAAGTAAAGAGAAATCAATTTGACAATGGCTATGAATTTAATCATTAGTTTTGATATGATTATAGTAGACCCCCTATAAAACAGGTTCCTATAATTACGATTCCTATAAGACAGCGAAAAAATTGCGATGGTATCCGTAAAAAACGGTAAAAAACTCCTATCATTACGTAAAACGTCATCGAGCAGTCGAACTACTTTCCGCGCCGTCAAGCGCCACACTATGGAGAGATTACTATCGTCTGTACAGTATTATATATAAATTAGGTATTGTATATATAATTATGTATTTACAAACATTCCAGACTAATATTCTACAATCTATATCTGAATTGGAATTTCTTGGTAGTAATCATTCCAAATATATTAGTTTAAATTACTTTGATATGAATCATAATTAGAGAGGAAAAAAACACTGAAAATATTTTTTAGTGTTTAATTTATTGTATTGATGCATGTAAGGATGATAATGACTAACTAATGTTAATTTTTGTAAACTTTTCTCATGAAAATTTTTTTTCTACAAGTTCATATATTACACAGGTTTCAGAATGCTTCTGTACCAATATTACTATATTATTTTTAAGTAAACCATTAAACCAAAGATAAAATTAATTTTATTAAAATTACACTCTTTGCAATCATTTATGTGATTAGTCATAATTAGTCTTGGAAAATGTGTTAAAAGCACAGTTTCAAACACTGATTTCAAATTCTTTGAAGTTTCCAAAATTTTTCTTCAAATTATAGTGTAAAAACTTGCCAAAGACAATATTAACATACTTTTATGTTGCAAAGTTTCAAAAATATGCATGCATTCTTACTTCTGGTTTTGGACTCCATAACCTGACTACAGGATCAATACCACTAGTTGCTAGTAAACAACTACTTGGATGAGGTTGTAGGCAATTAACAATAGAGTCATCTCCTCTCAGCACCCTCACAATATTTGTGGTTTCTCTGTCCCACATAAAGAAAGAACCATCATCCGAACCAGCAACAATATATTGCCCACAACTAAAAAAATTTTTATGTTGAAAATATCTTTTAACAGTACAAAATAAAATTGAAATAACATTATACCTTCCAAAGAAATTGGCTTCCTTGATATCAGTTGTGGTATTACAATGACCACAAAAGCGTGTTTCATAATCATAAGCTAGTGACCTCCAAATCTTTTCCTGTTCTGAAACTGAAGGTTTTCTATGACGTGTATTAGAATTGTTATTGCTACAATTGCTACCCGACCCCTGAGAATCAGATGATCTTGTACTATTAGTTTCGTCTAAATATTTGAAAAACAAAAATTATAAAGAGCTTCATAATGGTAAAAAAATAAAACAAAAAGAATGCAAGAGTTTACCAGTTTCTGTGGAATAAATGGCAGCTTTAATATCTCTATCCAATGCTTCACAAGCATGGGTTTGAGCATGATCTGGAAATTTTGCTTTGAATGTCTAACAAAAATATAGAAAATAAATAAATATGTACTAATTTTTACAAAATATAGAATCTGCTTATTGTAATCACACAATGTTATCAATTATGCAAAATTGAAAAATGTTAAACAACTCATGTTTTGAGATCTGCTAAGTTTTATAAGAGTACTTTAATGATAATAGGACAAAAAGACAGCTTAAAATATGTCTTTCAACATCAATATATGTTTATGCACAATGGTTGCCAGTTATTGTTATCAGTTTTAATGATTATTATTTAACATGTAAAGTATTAATTATTTGCTCAATGTCGTAGTTTAAAGTTGTTGACATTTTAGCTTCAACTTATTATTAACAACTAGTAATTCATCCAACTATTATATACTAACTAATTAAACAATTTATAACTTGAAACATTATTATTTTAACATGGCTATTTAATACCAGAGTCAATAAAATCATTTCTGTTAATTGTAGTCTTACTCTGTTTCATACTATTACATCATCATCATCAGTATAGGTGAATCTCAAAGTAATTACAATAAGTAGATTCTATTGTAATTTAGTAAAAAATTAATATACCTGCAAACAATCTAATGCTTCTTTTGTCCAATGTAACTCATATAAACATCTTGCTAATCGAAAATGTGCTTTAAAATAATCACCATCTATTCGTAATGCCACATGACAATCTCTTAATGCTGCATAGAGATCCCCATCCCTGAAAAATAATTTGTTATATAAGATCAGTTTGATTGAAATGACAACATATCTTAGTTTAATACACTTACCATCCTCTCTTCATGAATGCAGCTGCACGATTTCCATACAGAGCTGCAGCAGATGGACATAAAACAATTGCCTGATTGTAAAGATCAATTGCTACTGTAAACTGCTGTTTTTCAAACTTTTCATTAGCTCTTGCTTTTATTAATTCTACTGTGGGTGGTAATGATTTGCAGGCAAATCTAAATTTACATTATTTTATATATTTTTTAAGAGAAACAGACTATTACTTAGACAAAAAATTAAATTTGGCATTTACCCTCGTTTACTTTTCCCAACATTCCACGAATTGGAATTAAATATCTCTGTAGGTAATATCCTGGCAGTTGTCGCTGTTACACCATTTGTCATCATACCATTAGTTGTACCATTTTTATGAGTACTATATCCATTTGTTGGATTACAGGTATCTGCAGTTCAAGTATGAAGTAATAAATTGCTTTTATATGAAATGTTTGTATGGTTAATATAAGAGACAATACCTTTACACAATCCATTTGCTGATAGAGGAACACCCTGTAAATCATAAATTTTGGGTAAGGAAGGCTTTACAATGCTGAAAAGATAGATTTGTTCTCCTCCTAAATTGGCTAATAATTCACTTCCATTGGGACTAAACGTGAGATACGTTGATGCTAAAGTTCTATATCGTTTCCTGTAATCTGGCTGTTTTAAAGGCAAGTGGCCTGTAATAAAAAGTTATTTGTATATTTTTCAGCTTGATTATGAAAAATTTATGCATTGAATAATACAATTTATACATATGCTTCTGACACAATATAGTGCTATAAATTAAGACACTTGGCGGATTTTCTCATCTTTATTTAGTTGATTATTTAGTTATTTAGTCAACTAAATAAAGATGAGAAAATCCGCCAAGTGTCTTAATTTATAGCACTATATTGTGTCAGAAGCATAAACAAATAGCAAAGCACGGTTTCATATCATCACAATTTATACAATCTTAACAGATTCACTCATTTTAAAATGCAATCAGTTTTAATAAAACCTAGATACAAGAGTAATGTATCTATAGATCTCAACAATAAAATTTTGTTATTTTTTAGAAAAAAAATCTTCAGAAATATCAAAAATTGGAGTTTTTCAAAATTACTGAATGATATTTGAGAATCCACTAATAAAATCAAATATTCAAAGTCATCAAAGTGTATTTTTATAGAAATTAATTCAAACAATAAACTAAATTCTTGCATATGTTACCGCTAAAGCTCGAAAATCGTTAATGTGTACATTACTTAGGTAATTTGAGAAATACAGTAGACCCCCCTATAACGCTTAGATACGTTCCACGCTAAGCGAATGTTACGTTATATGAATGATTAAATACATGAGCCAATCGCAGCCCGATAGGCACTTGGTAAAGTGGAAATAAGATCTTTGCTGAAACAACAGCAACGTTTCTGTACGCTTAAATTAACATAATGTTCTTTATTTAATTTTCGATATCTAAAGAATCAAGTTAATACAATCAAACAATCAACAAATTAGTTGATAGAATCAATCATCAACAAATTAAAAAACATACAAAAAATCAAACGATTTAAAATATTAATACAATTAGGGAAATTATTATATAGATAACCACCTATGGAATTTCGGGACTTTGAGTATCTATCTGAACTGAGGGGACCGAGACGACTTCAACGATACCCTACTTTTGGACCGGAGACGAAAAATAATAAAGTTATCATACTTTTTCTGGTGATCGCATGATATAATTGTGCAGTTAATGTTACCTATGGTGAGTAAAATGGCGGCTCGTCTCTGATTCCAGCAAACAGAAGAAAGGAAACAGTGGGGACGCACGTTCTAACCTAACCTAACCTATTCTAATAAATTACCATAATTATTACCAACCAAATTATTAGAATAGGTTAGGTTAGGTTTGAACGTGCGTCCCCACTGTTTCCTTTCTTCTCTTTGCTGGAATCAGAGACGAGCCGCCATTTTACTCACCATAGGTAACATTATCCAATTGTGCTTACTTATTAGTGCAGTCTAAAGATTGGTGACACTTTGAATTTCATAGCAATTGGTTTCTACAACAAGTACAGTACACCTACTTGTGGCAAAGAACTTATTTTCACTTTACCGAGTGCCTAGTAGGTAATGTGCGGATTACCTAGATACTCTGAACATTATCTAGGTAATTTGAGAAATGGAACAATTTTCACAACTTTCACAAATCACCCTAGTTAATCTGCAGATTAGCTAGGTAATCTGCAGATTAACGACTTTCGAGCTTTAGCAGTAACACATATAAGATTACTGTTTATAGTAAACAATAAATAAAAGGAAAACTTTATTTGTATTTATGTATGTATATTTGTGACAGCATCCTATTTGTGTAAAGCCTTTGTACACACATTTATGTTTGGATTGAAACTGTTGTTGAATTTTGTCTTCTCCAAGTTTTTGTAGTAAATTTATCTTTTTATTTATACACTTTTCTACAAACTCATTTCATTGAATTTTATAGAAAAATTTGCAATCTACAAATTTCTTTTGATTAATCATAAGTTTATTTTAGTAAATGAAACTGTGATGTCACAGCCTATAGACTGATATGCCACCAAAAAACACAACACATTTAATTTCATATTTGGTCACTTCCATTTAGAAACTGTAACAATTTGATTATTAAGAATATGTGATCTAAATAATGATGTACAACTAGCTAAGATCAGCTTTGATGTTACCATTTACTTGTTGTTTTACCCAAATACTGGTAATTTAGTTTACTGCTTTCAATGTAAAAAGCCAATAATGCATAAATATTTTGAAAGTATTTAAAGATTATTATCATCATTTTCCATCCGTTCTCAATGTTGCTTTGAAATATAATTGTTCTCTCTTGAAATATTAGCAGGTATGTGGCTCAATCACATTGCTAATACATATACATGATATAAAAGGAATTTAATTCAGATTGTATTTCAAATGTGAATTGTTTTACTTTTGTTACAGTTAAATAATTATAAGAATCTTTAGAATTTACATGAATCAATATGTGGAATCATCTCCATAAATTATGTAATGCTATTTTTATACTTTTCAACTACAATCCCTGTAATGCTCCATAACATGTCACACATACTCATCATCAAAATTATGTAATGTGTATTCTTAACTGTATTTAATACACAGCATGTGGTACTGATGTTACATCATTTTATTTTGTACAAAGCAGTGGAATAAACAGTAGGATTCACTAAGCAATTCTTTGGAAACAGTAATGAATCATTCTGTTACCAAGGGTTGAGATTCCTAGCATTACATAACAATTCTGTAACCATCCCTACTCCCTTGTAATGCAATCCATTGCATTGATAATTTACATATCAACCCACTCATATCTGTATAATTTACAGACAGATATGTTTATAAAACAAATCAGTGTAAAGATATGTAAATAAAAATTTATTTCATTAAGAGAAGATCAAAAGAAAAAATAATGAAATTTGTTGACACTGTAATAGAAGCAAGTATTTAATATATATAGTCACCAAGTAACAAGAGTACATCGTCGCTTTCAAACCTATTTGATGTTTTCTTAAGAAGACTCAAGCACTGCTCTGTACATAAACTAATAAAATATAAAAAGTTAATGTAAATAATAAATCCAGCTATTAGTCAAGAAAGAATTAGAAAGTTAATATTAGTACTTATAAAAGTATTATTGTTTATTGCAAGTGTAGCAGATAACTAAGGCTGTGCTAAGCCAAGATTTTGATATCGATATTTTGGTTTAGAACAGCCCTAGTTATTTCCATAGGTTATCACTAAATCAACTGGCTTTGAGAAGCAATGATGCAGTGGTATTGATGTGACTGCTGATGGGCAGAAATTGTCATCATATGTGATTTTTAAAGGAAAGATCATGCATAAAGGTTTTAAATGTACCTGGTATTCAATTTCAAGTACAAAAACAGGGATAGATGGATGAGGAATTAATGAAAGATTGAGTTGCAGAAGGAAGTCTGGTGCTCTACTTTGCCAAGTCTTTGCTTGTAATTGATAGTTTCTGGGGCCATCTAAGTGAGGAAGTGAAGAAGATGGTCCAAAAAGGATGAGCACACATGGCTGCAATTCCTGCAAACTTCAGTCTTGCAACCACTTGATATCTTACTTAATAAACCATTCACAAATGGAATTCAAAGGTTTTATGCAAAGTGATGGCTGGAGGTAACCACAACTTGATGCCTAGCAATTGGGCAATACAATGGTTAAGTCAGGGAAAGATGTGAGAGTGAATCATGGACATATGGAAATAAATTTCACCAACAATAATTGAGAAGCATTCAGAAAACCAGGGTTTCCAACACTGTAGATGGTTCTGAAGATAATTTAATCTGACAGTATGCTGAAAGTGATGATGATGAATCTGCAATGTTGGGCAGTGATAGAAATGCATCAGACCAAGAGAACTGTTAAATTAGTAATTTATTAATATTTTAAATTAATATAATGAACAGCAGAGTTAATTATCCCATTTAATGGTCATTTCTTTTATTTATTTTTAGAATATGAACACCTAACAAAAATGGATTTGCATACTGTCTGAACAATTTGAAATTTTTCACATAAGCATCTAAATTTTTTACAATATTAAATTTGTCTTATAAAATCATGACTTCTGTTAACTCTAAGCTCTAAAAAAATTTTTTTTTTTGTGTACCTGGAGACAAAATTGTATTTATCCCTTAGGCTAGGAAGGAAATTTATATAACAAAACCAGTCAAATAACTTTTCCTTTGTCCAATTTTGTCTCTAATGGATTAAGGCAAATTTGTCCGAACTCGTGTTTATAGTTAATCAAGATATCCTGCAAGAGTAAATATTTTTTGCAACTCAATTTTTGATTAAAAAATGGCAAAAAAATAGCACAGAAATTATATATAGGAAGTAAAAACAAAGAACATATAATAAAAATAAAACCTTGCTTTAATATTGTTATTGAAAGACACCGCTGTTCACAAAAATAATTTTCTTTCTTCAATATATCAGTGGTATATATCCAGGATTTTAAGAATATGGATGTTGCTCAAGACAGATTTAGGGGGACCAAGGCAAGTTTTATTGTTTTCAGAGAATGTTGCTCAATTACTTTAGTTACCTAATGTCACCTAATTGAAGTCATGCAACATGTGTTGTTATATTTATTTATTTTATGTTATTTTAAAGTAACAAAATTGAATGCTTTGGTATCAATGGGATACTGCAGCATCATAACCACTCCCTTGGATATGCCCCTGCAATATATAGACAGAATCCTAAATATCTTTCTCATTTCAAAAATTTTTTTATTGGTAAGAAAGTTCTTTTATGACAAAAAATTAGTTTTATGAACTTTCAATACATACTATAAAGAATAGCTTTGAAATATTGACAATTCTAAAAATTAGAAATTATAGGACATATAATTTTTTTTAATTTTAAGCATTTATAAAAATTTTGATACATTTTAGAGATACTATGACATTGATCATCTCTTGGCATTTATATAATTACTAGCAGATAAACCCGGCGTTGCTCGGGCAAAAAGTAATGATAGCAAAGATTAAGATTATTACATTAAAGCCAATCTTACCCGTTTTCACAGAATGCAAGAATTAGATACCCCTGTTTCCAGACTAATTAGAAAATTTTTAGGTAGGTCTAAAAATATGTTCAATTTCTTGCAATAATCTCTTGTTCTCCATTGTTAACACTTCCATCATTGAAGCCTTAATCCTGTCCCTCTCCCTCCGGGGGGGGGGGGATTTCAAAAACTCCCTTCTTAGTGTACATTCTCGTGACATACCTTAACTGTGTACCAAACTTCAACTTTCGACTCTTAACTGTTTGGGCTCTGTGCTGATTATTATTATTATCAACCCGTCTCAATTATATATATAGATTCTTAAAATGCTAATTTTTATATAACATAAAACTTTGTAAATTTTTAAAATTTACAAAATGAAGGTGTACAAATACTAGAACTTTTAAAATTATTTTATCACTGACTATTAAGAAGCATGGTTTCCAAAACATAATTAACTAACTACATGTATACATATAAATTTCATTATCAATAGTAAAATAAAACAAAAAATGAATTTTCAATTCTAATTTTCTTTTTTACCTGCTACAAAATAAGTGACACAGCCTACTGGAAGATTGTCTTCTTCAGAATCTGACATAGGTAAATAAGAGTGACGTTCCCATAATGATCTTGGTATATGTTCATTGGAATACTAAATGATGTATTACATAAATTTAATACTTAAAAATGTTATATCTTAGATCAAAACACGTACATACTTTTATAGTTGTTGTTGATATCATACGTCTGTCATATAACCTTACATAAGGATCATTTGCTCCCACTGCAAGGAGTTCTGGTCTAAATGGATTTATTGCTAGACACTTAGCTTCGGCACTTTTACCTAAATGGTTTATCAGATTAATCAATACATTGTTACACACATTAGAACACTGATGAGGTGCCCTTAAGTCAAATTGCCTAAAATAATTTTAATAAATATAATGTTAAATATTAATTTATATTTTGTATAATATTAATTGTTTTTTACAATGTTTTCTTACATTACAATTCCATCTTCAGCAGCACTCCAAAACATAAATGGTACATTAGGAGCTACAGCTATCCTTTTAACACGTCCAGCATGACAACTACAAGCCATTGTAGTTTCTTTAGCATTTGCATCATGCACTCTTATTTTATAATCTGCTGCTCCACTTACTATCATATTATCATTAGAGTTTGGAAGGAACTAATTTCAATAAAATAAATGAATGAAATTATAAAAAATGTTTAATATTTTTAATGACAGATTACTCACTTTAACAGAAAATATATTTCCATGATGACCACTCTGAATAGAATGTAACTTTTTATGTCTAAAAGGGTCCCATAATATAATGTGAACATCATCTGAACCACTTGCTAACAGACTGAAAATAAGTAAATAAATAAATATATTTTTCAAAATAAAAAAAAATAATCCTATTAAAAATAAATACATACTCTCCTTTTTCATTCCATTCTAAGCAATTAACACAGCCAGCATGACCCTAAAAGCATTGTAATTTTAAATAATAATATTAATCATCCTACTGAAAAATAAAATAAGTTACCTCCAATTCTGCTTCTAAACCAAGACGAGAAATTAAATTTGGAGTGACATGGAGCTTTCGTTGGAAGCGACGCTGACACTTATCCTAAAATAATTCTATATTTAATATCATATTTATAAAGCTACAAAACTGATGATGAACATTTGACATTTTAGGTCATTTGATTTTTTAAAACAAAATTATTAAAAAGTCATGTCTATAAATTTACAGTAAATTTAAACATTTGAACACATCCTAAAATTATTTAATCTTAGCTCAATAAATCATCAAAACATTCATAATTTAAAAAAATTATTTTTATTATTATTTTATTATACCAGTACTGTAAACTATAATAACAAAAATATTTCTCTTTAATACTAATAAAATTTATTTTGAACTGATATAATACTTACATTTTCTTCTCTCTGAAGAAGGCGATGAGTGACATTCCTAGTTTCCATTTTCATTATATTATTTTAAAATATTTAAAGTTCCCATATTACCTAAAAACATAAAATAATCTAAATTAATTAGCAAGATTAATACACAATTTTTTATATTAAACACTTTTGTATCCACAAGAGTTAAGTTCCTTTGAAATCTCACAGATAACAAATATAAAGGACTATGGGAAAATTGAGTAATGTTCCTGTGGGTGAACCAATGTACTGTACAATATCTAAACCATGCTGCTGTCTCAGGAATATTTAGACTTTTGTAAATGATTCAAAAAGTAAATAACACCTAAATGTTTATTTTATTCCTATGCTTAATTATATTAAAAACATTAGTCTTACATTTTAAGATGATTGAGGAAGATCAACGACAATTTGGAAAAACTGAGTTAATGTTGCTTGATATACAAAATTATTCATGTCCTTTAAGATTTCAGCATACAGAAGCCAGGCTGCTTCTAAAGATCACTTAAATTTAAGGATGCACTCAGGAATTAAGTATGATTCTTACAACTCCTTGCACAAGCTATCAACAGTGCTGTATATTTTTGAAAGCTTGGAAGTTGTCAATGGCAGCTTTTGCATTTATTCCTTTTCATCATCTTTCTCTTTGCTATGGTGGAAATTTTCTGTATCATCATGTCCACATAGTTCATCTATAGTTCTCTGATTTAGTATGCACTCAACATCTTCTGCACAGTGACTTTAGTTCAGTAGTACAATACAAGTATTGTAATTATTGTACTTTGCTTGATTGTCAAAAAATATAAAAATTAGAGGTAACAGAGTACATTTTTTACAAGTACTGTATTTATAATTGAAATACTATAAAAGCAATTTGCAGATAAACAAATGTTTCATGAATGATCTGTGGTTGATCACAATTTTTCAGTTGTGGTTAAGCAAAAGCACAAATATCAAACATACAAATACTGAGATTACTTATATATATAAAAACATATGTAAGAAATAATTCAAAGTAAACTTTCATATAATAGCTATAACTAAATTGTCACAAACTATTTTTATTACATTAATAAGCTAAGCAGTCAAAAAATTTTAATAAAATTAATTTTCTATAAAATAAATGTGTACATAGTAGATGCTTTTATTCTGCAATTCTAAATATCAAATAGCATATTTAGTTTGAATAATATGACATCTTGACAATAAACCAATAAAAAGCAACCAATAAACTTAAATAAGATTTCTTACTTGTTAGTGTTAATTTCACATTTCCAGAAGTAAGACACTTCTAATGTTCTTACATTAAAAAACAATAATTTATTTTTGAATTTATAATTTATTTTTAAATATTTTTATATTTAGTTTGATTTATTAGCTAAATTTTAATTAATTCTTAATACATCTTATAATCTTTTTATTTATATTATAAAGATATATTATACTTGAAAATATTTTAATGCATACAGAAATTGATATTACCAATACAGTAATATAACACCATTATTATTATTTATTATTATTATTATATCATTATTTCATTCAGCATTTAAAGTTCTTACAATAAAAATAAATTACAGTATTTTCTTTTTATTAAGTTATTTTTCTAACATTACAAGTTAATAAATATTTACCATTATACACTAAACTAATCAAAATATTTTTATTTTCTCTCTCTCTCATTTTAATTAGGGGTGGCCAAAATGTGGCACATTGGATGATTACAAATGGCACTTCAGTCAGTTCTGAGTGAGCTGAGATTTGAGGTGTTGAGCTTTGAAGCAGAATTTTTGCGAGAACATTTTGTGTGTGTGATACAATGTACATAACTGTGATCTATTTGTTCTTTTTCAACATTTTTTAGAGTTTTGTACTTTTCTATTTTTTTTTTTTAATTCCTTTTATCCATTACAGTGCAAAATAAAATGACCAAAAGAAGCATAGAAAGTGATAGCAGGCATGAATTTAATAAACAGTGGGAAAATGAGTTATTATTTATAGCAAATTCATCAGGAAAACTGTTTTGCATTGTTTGTGAAAGTACTTTTTCACATAATAAAAGACATGATCTTAATAGACACTATAAAACATAGCATCAGACTTACATAAAAGAAAAAATGAAGTTTGTTCTTGGGTCTGAGTTGCAAAGAGAATATGTGACTAAGAAAAAGAAAGAAATCAGAAGAAGATAAAATATATATGCTAAAGTAAGTTGTGAAGACTTAGCAATGATAGAACATATCATATGAAATTGCTTTAGCATTGGCGAAAAAAAAGAAATCTTTTTCTGATGGAGAAGAAATTGTTAAGCCTTGTCTCCAAATATTTGCATGCCATCTTGATAATAAAGGTATTGAAAGGAAAGCAGACAAAATTGCTATATCAAGGTAGACAGTTATGAGATGTATCGAGGAACTCTCTCAAGATGTATTCCAGCAATTGCAAGACCTTGTCAATTCATGTACTTTCTTTTATCTAGCTTTGGATGAATCAACGAACATATCTGATATTGCACAGTTAAACACTTTTATAAGAGGAATTGATGATAATTTTAATATTTTTGAAGAACTTGCCAGTCTGGAGTCATTGCATGATAAAACATGAGGATCAGACATATTTGAAAAAGCAAAATCATGCATAGAAAATCTAAAATTAGATTTTACAAACTCATCAGTTTGACTTTATCTTTATCATTGACGGAGCACCATCAATGATAGGTAAAGTCAACGGCACTGTAACTTTGCTTAAAAATTTTTTAAATTGTCCTTTACTAAAATATCATTGCATTATACACCAAGAGGCACCATGTGCCAAAACTTTAAATATGCAACATGTTATGTTACCGGTTGTGATATGTGTAAATAAAATTAGAGTAAGAGCATTAAACAGACAAGAATTCAGAGAATATTGTGAATTATTAGATTTGGAATATGGTGATCTTAACCTTCATTATGAAGTGTGCTAGCAATTTGATCAAATATATTAAAAAAATCAAGATATTGCAAGGGGCATTTGAAAGTTGTTTTCATGATTTTGCTAGAGAAAAAAAACTGAATTCTCCCCTTTATAAACCCATTTTCACTTAATGAACAAAACATAATCAGATGCCTAGTAATATACAAATGGAACTGATTGATTTAATTAAAAAAAATTCATTCTTAAAATTTGATGAGCTTTTTCCAGATGATCAAAATGCTTCTGGCATAATTAATTTCTGGCGTTCATTACCATGTGAACATTTCCCAGAGCTAAGAAAATTTGCAAAAAATTATATACGTCACTTTGAAATGATATACAGATGTAAACAAGCATTTTCATCAATGAAATTCATTAAAAGCAAAACAAGGTTGCAAATAACTGATTCAAATTTGAATTCTCTGCTGCTCTCAGTAACAAATTTAATACAAAACATTAAAAGACTAGAAAAATCCAAACAGGCTCAAAAGTTTCATTAATGATAAGTAATGTTTATGTGCTGTAACAGATATTGTTTTACATACAATAATTAAATCATTTAAAAAAATTAATTATGTCTATAAACATACTTCTATTAAAAATGTTATTAAACATACACCAGGGCCAGGACTCCTTCTAGCAAGCAGAGAGAACAGACAAATCAAGTTCCAAGCTGATCTAGCTCTCAGTGCCAACAACTGTGGTTTAGAGTTATCTTCACCAAACGAGAATCTCTGGCAGCTATGAAGCGATCACCCTCTCGTACAGGAGATCATTCCTGACTATTGTAGATTGGTGCTTCATTAAAAATGGCATAAATTAATTAATTTAACTGCATGATTAAGTTATTCCTTTTCCTCCCCTAAGCAAAGCAGATTCTATCCTTATCTCTATTTATTATGAATTATTTTTCATTATTACAATCCCATTGTTATGAAGAAGTTCAGAAAATTGTTAAAACAAATATATATATATATATATATATATATGTATAGTGGGATAGTTTGGGATGAATAGAAATAGGAAGTGGAAACTCAATTATCCAAAACAGCTTTTGAAAAACCCAGAACATGTACAGTAGTGTTGTATGATACAAGAGATCAAACTTTCCATGTAACTGAAAATTACTATGTAATATGTCAATTGTAGTGCCACAAAACTAGGTCATATATGTAACATTGTTAGATTTTGAGAAAATGATTTAACTTTACAGTATTTATTGTTCATGAAACTTTAAATGCATGTGTTTGATGTATCCAGAATATAAAAATATATTACTTGATTATATAAAATTTCATTTATCCAAAAACTCTCTGGCCCATCAAGTTCAGATAAATGAGTTGTGTGCATAAATACATGTAAAGAGTATAGTCAAAGAAATAAATATATATTTACAAATATTACATATTACAATATTTTAAGACACATAAGATGCAACTTTACTGAAAAAAGAAAGCCATATGTTCTTTAAGGTTTTGATAACATATGCTAATGAAATCCTCAAACAGCTTTCAGTAGGCTACAGGTAACTCTACCCAATTCTTGAATAAAAATATAATATGTTTCATTAAACAATAACTTTAACTAGAATACAATAAAAAATTTATGACAGACTGTCAAAGGAATAAGATAACTTAAATACACTAAATATTTCTTCCTAATATTCTGTACTGAACTGGGAGGAAGTCATATGCCCATATATCTTATAAACTGTAAAATATAGTAATTTAGACAAGTTTACAATTTCGTACATAATATAATGAATGATTTATATGAAAATTATATATATATATATATATTGATAGTTCATTATTTATTACAAAGTAACTTATAAATATTGTGTATAAAATATGCATTTATGAAATTTATACTATCAAAAATATATAAGTACTCTTTCTTTACAAATTGCTCATGTTTATATAACAACACTGATGATTAAAGTTTTCTCTTCTAAATACTGAAATGAAAATTTTAAATTTTATAAATAAATTAAATAAAAGTTATACAGATCTGTAGACATCATATATATATATAAATTTATTATTGTTTTGTCATTAAAAAGAAAAAAAACCTAATTTTCATATAAAATTACAAATAATAATAAGTAATTTCTGTATTATTATTCAAAT